TATTTTTTAATAAAATACACACACACACACACATAATTATACACATAATTATATACATAATTATACACATTATTATATATTTATTGCCTTGTTTAAAGATTATGAAATCCTCGGATTATAATATAAAATGTATGATTTTATATAATTCGCTAAAATTTCAATGTGTGTATGTGACATAACAATTATACATAATGTAGAAATCTTCCTCGCAATGTATGATTTATGGTCTATGAAGATTGATTAACATGATATTAAAAGTAAGCGTATTACTTATGTTAACGTTAACGACTCCTACGGCGAAGCTTAGACACTGACCGATTTCTCGTGTACTACTTAGAAGCGTCGCGGAAATGAGTCCTTGGAGAATAGAAACTTCGTCAGTTTTCAGGTTATCAGAATCAGTATCCAATATATGTATACTGATATGTATCACGTCATTTAGAGAGAGATAGAAGAAAATAAAACTTTCAGGAATTTCCTTAGTCTGGAATATACAACCTAGGCAGCATGCATGTCTAAAATCGAATATTCATAGTACATTCTTATTTCAAAATCGTCTTAAAGTTATGTCTAAACAACATCTCAAATTTATTTCTATTAATGCGTAGATTAACTTTAATCTCAGTTCTTGCTTTTTATTTTTTTCTAATTCTCGGAGCTAAAAAGAAATCAGGAATTAATTGAACCAATTAAAATTAAACCACATAGAAGTAAACATTATTTCCACTTTGTACATGCGTGCTAACTGAGACTTAATTTTTTAATTTATCCCTGGTGAAAAAAATTTCGTTGAAATTAGTCCACGTTTTGAAACATTTTAGCGAAATTAAATTTACTAAAGTTTCATTGAAAGTGAATTTTTTAGCTAACATACTGAAAAAGATTATTGAAATTTTTCTGAAATTTTGCTGAAAATGAACTTTTTAGCTAAAAATCGCTGAAATTAAATTGAAATTTTACTGAACAGTAAAATAATTTTAGTAAAATTTTTCCATCAGTAATAGCATTAAAATTTTTTTAATTATGCAAAATAAATTACGCATTTATGTAATTTATAAATATGCAAGTCGTTACTTTTGGTATTCGGGATTTCTGGAATTTTTAATTTCAAGAATTTTACAAAAAAATATTGAAATCAACTAAAAATCTCAAACTTAGAATTTCTTATTATAATAAATTTCATTTTTTTTAAAATAAAATATAAAACCTATTCGTTCACACCATTTTAACTTCTACGTCAATATCCGAAAATTTCATATTATGTTAATGTTCAGGATATCTGATATCCATTATGGAATTTTATATATTATGCAAATAGTAAATGGTTTTCTATTATTTCTTATCCTTCAAGATCCTCAGATTTATTCTAGTAACAGTTTGCTTAACGGTCGACGTTCTTCTTATCTTGTTTCTATGAACTCATTTACTAGTATTCTGTACGTCAGTTTTAAAACGTCTTATTATTTGAGCAGTCGTATATTTATTGTATTTTTATTACCTATAAAAATTTGTTAATCCTTCGTCGGCCATGACAATTTGCCATGTTTTCTGCAAACTTTTACTTTTTCTTGTAGAATCTTGTAACACAAAAAATTATTCAAAGTGATTTCTAATATCAGCTTTCAAATTGATATTTTTTTGTCGACAAATACTTTAAAGATCTAAACAAATAATTGGATGGAACAATGTTGAGCGAATGCGCAGGATGCGATAGAATTTCCTATTTTTGAACTTTTAAATTTTTTTCTGCGTAATTGTTGCTGTGGACCTGAGGCCGATCCTCATTATCATTAAAGGGATAGTCCAATTTAAAACTAAAAAGAATTGATTTTTCTTTTTTAAATATTTAAAATATCAAAAAAGCTTTTAAAAGGGATTTTATATTGGTCAAAATAATGAAGATACAAGTATTTTTAAGTTTTAGCTTATTTTTGTGTTTAATGTTCTATCAATTTATGTTCAAAGACAAGCTAGAGAAAAGTGAAAAATATGATTTTTGAATTAAAAGATTTATTGTATGATTTCGATATATATAAAACTAATAAATATTTATAGCCATATAAACATTTATTAAATATGTACAAATAAATGTAAAAAGCGTAGAAGAATATACAGTAATTTTCTTTAAATAATTTCTAAAAATGTTTTAGAAAAGAATACTCCCTTAAAGAGATTATTCCTTGTCAGACAAAATGCCAGATCAAATTTTTGGATCAACATTGGATGCTTTCCATTTGATGACACAAGTTGACACAAGTCGACACAAGTGTCGTTCTTTGTCACTCTCTAAATGTCAACAAGGATAAAACAATTCTTGTCGACGTGTGTCATCAAATGGAAAGCATCCATTGATTCTTATGTTAATCTTCAATATATTTTTATAAATCATAAAAATTTGCTTTGTTGCTATTATTACATTAAATTTAGCATGAAAATGAAACAACATACAATCACGAATATGATATTTGGAAGAGCTATTTCATAAAGTGCTCTTTTATTGCGGAGCAATAAAAATATATCTCATATTTTTTGTAAAATTTTAAATACAATCCTGCATATATTTTAAAATAAATTAGTAATTTAAATGTAATATTGTTCACATAATGGAGATTCGGAATTGTATGACGTGTTTGAATGGAAATTATCAAAATAATATTATACAATATTTAAAAAAAAAATTGAAATGGATATTCTTTAATATTTGAGTATCGATAAAAACTTAATCTTTTCTTATTTGGAGATATTTATTTATCAACTTATTACGAAAACACAATATTATCGGAAACACATTATCATCGAGATACCAAAATTATAAATACAATTGCATAAATACAATTTTTATCACGCATCTTTATTGCGTCTCAGGCATTTGGGAAATATTAAAATGTTATTAATGATTTAAATGTGAAAATTTAATTTTAAAAGTTTCGAATTGTAATTTATTAACAATTTTTAATTGCTGTTGTCTATCAAAAAAAACTTTTTTTCCATTCAAATGAGTAGGCGAATAATTCGGAAAAAATATTATTTTGGATATTATTTTATATTTTTTAAACATTTTGAAACACTGAACCCATTGCATTCTGTAACGCTTGTTTTGTGATAATGCAAAACAGTTAAAGTATATTCTTCGTTGGGCTACAAAAATAATGATCACTCGTTCGGCAATGCGGAACGAGTGAGCATTATTTTTCTCTTTACGTTGTATTGTCGTTTCGCTATGTCATTATCTGCGCGGCGAGCGAGTCATTCTCGCAGTGTAGCTTCAGAAATAAAACAAATCCCGGAAAGATTATTCGGCGGCGAATGTTGTTTGTTGATGTAATTGTTATCATACATTCGAGCAATTTACATATCAATTAACACTTTAAAAATTGCATCTTGTAAAGAGATATTTAAATTTTAGCTACCTAATGCATTTACAATTCGAGGATAAAGTTCGATCAGCAGGAGCAAAAATTATTGACATTTAATTACTGAAGTTGTGTGCAGTGTTTTTCACGCCTTGTAAGAAATGGAAAGTCCCTTTTAAGTGATTCGTTCTTTTTAGAAATATTGCTTAAGATAATACGGTCGGTATGGATCATTTCGAAATTCTAAGAAACTTTAAGAAAGTAATTTAACATCGGCGATGCGAAGCTTATGCGCATACGTGTCGAACGCGATTATTGTAATTTTTGCCCAATTTTTCGCAACGAATCCACTCCCATCCATACCAATTTTTATTGCGCGTAAATTAAAAGAACAAATAATTGCAGATAATTAACAATGACTTAATACAAAGAATACAAAATAAAAGTCACAATGGTAGTCGTAAAATGAATGTATGAAGAACGTTGTCATCAATGTATAAAGAATGTTGTTGTCAATATTGAAAAATCTCTACGAATAACAAAAAGATGTTTTCTAAGCAAACAAGAGAACTATTGTGTTTTTTTGACTTCTTCGAAATATAGTAACATCTTTACTAAGTATGTGACG